TCTCTCTCTCTCTCTCTCTCTCTCTCTCTCTCTCTCTCTCTCTCTTTTATTTAATTTTTCCCATTCTCCTTCTTCCCTTCCCAAGGCCCGCCCATCCTCCAGCCCCATCCCGTCTTCCTTGCATGCATTCCCCCACCCCGCCCACACCCACAACATGGCCCAGCCCGATTTAAGATTCTATAAAAAGAAACGCCACAGTTCATGATTTAGCCCACAGTCGGCGGCCATATTTGATCCCCACCGCGGCGTACTGCTCGTGGCACCGCGAAGAGACAGAGGAGGCTCCATTAGTTCTAAGCTCCTTGATCTAGGCCTAGATCTAGATCTAGACCTAGAGTCTAGTGAAATACTTTTTACTTTTACTAGAAATCTAGAATCTAATCTAGATCTAGATTAGATCTAGATTCTAGATCTAGAAGTCTAGATCTACCATTTTTGTTGTGATGTATCACGTGAAAATGATATTTTGGGTGCTTTTTCGGTAGTTCCCACCCCCCTGTATTTGAGCCTAGAGGCTAGATCTAGATTTAGATCTAGAATCTATACGTTTGATGCGCCGCGAGCTAAGATATCAAACCTAAGTACTGCAAAACATCAAATAATGGGAAAATATAGGGAGCATGCCCCCCTGAACCCCCCCCCCCCCCCCCCCCCCCCCCACCTTATTTTTATTGGGTCGAGCCCCCCTGAAACCCTCCCTACTCATGAGGCCAAAACTAAAACCCGCAAATAACAATTGCGGGGTGGGAACCACCGAAAAAGCACCATATTTTGGTAGTACATGAATGCAAAATAGTATTGGACTAGATCTAGATTAGTTGTTCTGTGTGTCTAGCTTGAAGTGGTTTAACTCACTCACTGCCATGCCCGAACCCTGTCGGGTGATCCGCATAGACCGCTGCCTGCCAAATCCGAAACCCGTCGGGTGCGTTTTTACTACTAACTATTTTTCAAACATTCCCCGACACGTTTCGGGCTTGGCAGTCGGAAGTAGGCGACATAAACCAGTTTAGTTTCGATTCCGCATTGTTGCAGTAACTTCCCTTGAATAAGCTACTTAAAGATCTTACTTTTTCAAACTCACCCGAAACTAACTAAAAACTACTGATGCTCAGTTACGATGGGGATGGCGTCTCAACGAGGTCGGAACATTTGAATTGATGGACCCATTCGTCAATAAAGGTATATCTTTTTGCAGATGATAGTGATGATGAACCATCATACAGAGTTGATAATGAGTATAGGAAAGGAAATAGGAGAGGTGTGGACTCAAGTGAAGATGAAAATTGTGCTAGATCTAGGCCTAGATCTAGAATAAAATCGGGCGTTCCCCATGCTCAGACCTATGATCCGATGCTTCCCAGTCCCGTCACGCAAACGTCAAAGATCACACAATGTAGATTTAGACCCCAAATGATTGGAATACAGCTGACACAGACCCTCCTATGTCTACACAACAAACTTCAAATAGTGGCACCCCTCCCCCAGTGGCTATGCCCCGTCCTGCAACCACACACCCTGATGTTGATGCTCAGGATGGGTGGACTGATGACTTAAATTCCAGTTATATAAAATTTGTCAGACATCTTTTCAAAGTGACTCTTCAACATTTGCCAGTTGAAACAAAATCTATTTCTTGCAAAGATAAAGATAAAAAGGTATGCATATCTACTGAATGTACCAAGCACCTAAATGTTATGTAAAAGGTTTTTTTCTCGATTTTGCCACATATTCACAAACTCATAAAATTTCACACGATAAAGGTATCACAAAAATATTTTTTTTATTTGTTGAGTATGTTTCAATGTCATTGTTTGTGGAAAAGTTCAATGCTGTACACAAAATAATAAGCTCACAGTGAGGTTTTGAAAAAGGTCCCGAAAGCCTGGCATTCCTCAGTTATCCTGCCGAGAAATGCCTGGCAGTGAGTGAGTTAATGATGAAATTGACCATTTATTTTGACTTTTGGTTTGAATTTCTTTGAACGTTCAGGAAAATAAGCTTGAACTCTATTTCTCCGAACGGTTTCTGTTCTCGAGATTTGTTGAAAATAAGCGAATGGAGTGGCCTCTGTGTGTGTGTAAGGTGGGGGGGGGGGGGGGGGGGGGGTGAAGGGATTTTTTTTTTTAACCTGAAGGATTTTAGTTTTTGCTGGGTGACTAAATGCAAAATAGGTTACTGCCAAGGTCGAGCAGTTTTGTTTTCTCGCAGTACCTTTTGAAGGTATTTTCAAATGAAGTATAGTCCAGGAACGTTGCCCCAACCACAACTGAAGTATCTGAATGTTCAGACATTTAAAATTCTCTAGATGTCTAGCTCTAGAAATTGAATTTGATGCAAAAAATGCTTTGTCTCAGTCCTTGCAGAATGAAAGGATGACACCTAAATCTTGCAAATAAAAAAAATCTCTAGATCAGAAACCGTTCGGAAAAAAAGAGTTTAACTTTATTTTCCCGAACGTTCTGAGAAATAATCACTTTGTTGAATTAGATCTAGATAGATCTAGTCTCTAGTCTAGATCTATTGTTGTTGTAATTTATAGGCTACACTGTAATGGATGCAGTAGCCTACATGACATGTACATCATCTAATTCAGCTGTATTGCTACACACTGCAATTGATCTGACAGGAAATTTTAGGTCCCAATGAATGAGCCTGACTGACTAATAGTTCATCACTTGTCAGTTTTATTCTGTCGACTTGTCTTCTTAGGCTGAAACCTAACTTGCTGCTAGACCGTCCGCCTTAGAATGTGGATTGGCCTTTGGGTCTATGTTTTGCTGTGATGCAAAAGAGCTTGAAACTAACATTGAGTGTGCATAGAGATGTCCCCTGACTGTAATGAGACCTCTGATTTGATTCTGATAAGTGAAACGTTTGAAAAGAAGAAAAATCTATCAAAGGTTTTGATTGGTACTTGCAGAAAAAGAAGAAACATTAGTTATATCTTGTTAAAATGTTGTCTCTCCTACCCTGGTGAAATTCATTTGTTTATTGTTTGTTTTTCTGCCTGAATTTATTTTGTACTACAGTAATTTCACCATGCAGTGTATTTTTTTTTCATTTTGCTGTATTTATGAAATTGTAACAGTTTCTTCCTTAATTTCCTTTTCAGCTGTAGGCCAAGTACAATAGTAAACGATATAAGGGCTCCAACAAGGTGGATAACCAATATTTGTGATGGCTCGACTAGTGAGTGTGTGTGAATCTGATGAGGAATTCGAATTTCAGAGACGACAAGTTCCTCTTGAAGTGGATAATTTAAAGGCGAGTAATTCGTACATGATAATTCATTTTTTATTTCATAATAAGATGATATAAATTGTCTTTTGTGTCTTTTTTTCTTTCCGCCAAAGGCCAATACATGATAGTTTTCATTTTCCAAAATGAAATATTTGTCTCATTTTGATTTTGTCTACATTCCTCTTTTTTTCTCTCTCTCACTTTTTTCCTGCCCCCTTCACTCCATTCCTCCATTTCTACCTCTCCCCTCCCTTAAACTCTTTTTATCCTAGCCATACCCCCACGGACTCTGTACCTGGGGCCGCCGCGCCATATATGAGTTGCAAGTCACTCCGTATATTTCAAAGTTCTGTATTTCTTACATTTAATCTTAGGTTTTAAGGAAATTTGGCAGTTATGTTAGAAATTGAATGTAGTTTTTGTAAATGTGCAGTGGAACTCGGATTCAACGAGCTCGGATTCAACGAGAACTCGGATTCAACAAGAGTAGATAGATTCCCCGTTTTTTTTTCTTCTTTAAAATCAATAAAAATAACCCGGATTCAACGAGCACTTAAATCAGCAAGCTCGGATTTAACGAGGTCGCTTCCAGGGGGAACAGCCCCCACAGACGTGGCTTGGCTTATTTTTCTCCCAGAACGAACTTTATCTATTCCTGAAAACCATCCATTGCACCTGCCTCGTGAACTATTGTTCACTTACCCGATTGAATGCGACCAATCAGCGGCCTTTTTTCACACCAACACATGCGTTGTTGGCACGCGCACGTGTCTACTCCGGCGTGTGTCGGGGTCGGATGTGCGGCCTGCACACGTGTGACTGTGTCGGGGAAGGGGGGAGGCACCAGCGGTCCGGGCGTTGAACGTCGCAGATACAAACGTGTCACACAGTCTTTTTTTCCCCTCAGCAAGTGATCATTATAAGCTAGTGTTGACGTAGATCTACATAATGAATTGTGCGCTGGTCTATGGAATCAAAAGTTGCCGTGTGCTAGGCTCTACACAGCAACACAACTTTTTGGCAAACAGTCGAGATGACTCAGATCAGGCGTGCATTTGAACGAATTGGTCTTTTTTTTTTACACAGCTCATAATATGCAGTCATTTCAGGCACTACTTACTTCTCTTTATACATTACTTGCTCAGTGCCTGTAATAATCTACACAAAACCTTGTGTTTGCTATAACGAACACTCGGATTCAACGAGGTTTTAGGTCAGGCCCGGCGACCTCGTTGAATCCGAGTTCCACTGTATGTGGTTAGGAATTACACCAATTGCACAATGTAGATTTTGAGGCGTATTCCACTCTCCATCTTGACCCTGATTGCCGCGCCAACGACGTCCCATTGGATTTTATAGATCTAGCCCTACCCCTCGATACAGCACGAATTCCAGTACTGACACCTTCACCATAATCTGAATGGCTCTTAGATGAGTCTAAGTCTTGTTTCTTATCATTCAAAACGGAATTTACAGCACTAGTTTCAGAGTCGCTTTCATCAAATTAGTATCATTCCCCCTCAACGCAGCGCCACTTCAAAAAGTACTTCGTCGGTCGTGAACGTGCGTTTTCGAGACATCGTTCAAGATTCTACACCCATCAAAAACCAAGGAACCACTGTTCCTTGGAAATTTTAAATATTCAGACAGAGCTAGCATTGCCGTATTTGCGTACAGTTGAACCTGTGTAAGACGGCCACCCATTGTCAAGGAGAAAAATGGCCATATAGGTGGCCGTCTTAGGCAGGACTGATCAGGATGAAGAAAATAAACCCTTCTTTTCTGAGGTCCCAACCGAAGATAGCTGCATTGTTGTTTTTCAAATTTTTGTATTGGCTTTGGGTGCTGATAAAAGTTTTTCTGTCAATGATTCTGTTAAACTATATTTTAAAAACAAAATTTTTTGTTGTCACCTATGTTCAGAGCTGTTAAAGTACTTTTAAAAAGGTACTTAAGTCCAAATTTATGTACAATCTAAAATACATGTACTTAAGTACAGTAAAAGTACTTTCCTGTAAAATGTTCTTGAGTACAAGTACTTTTTAAAAAAAGTACATTTTGAGTACTTTCTGCTAATATACTAAAACACTTCAGTGCTAATGCAAAACATCATATTGAATAACATATCCAGTATATTTCACAAATTAGGCCATTTATTACGAAAAATGTAAACTGAATACAAAGCATATACGCACTGAATGTAGGTAGAAATGGTCCGTGAAACTGAAAAACAAAACAAAAACCAAAGACACAACTAATGAGTAAGTGATACAGTCGAACCTGGCCTGATGGCCACCTCTATAAGACGGTCACCTGTACAAACGACCACTTTCCATTTCCCCCCTTGCGTTTTTTCTATATCATTTAACTGTGTGAAACGGGCACCTGTCCAATGCGGCCGCGGCCACCATATTTTAACGCACAACCCCTATCACACCTAGTAATAACACCTGTCTTAGACGGCCACCTTAGTGACTCCCTTATGTTTTGTCATAAATCATGCATTGGCCCCTGGTGTTGTGAGCGAGCCATCATAATCTAATCACCTGTCGTTATTGTTAGGTAGTCCCTCCAACCAATCATGTTGCGTAGGCCCCTCCCGCTGTTGACCAATAGGTAACAAATTTTCAGCTGCCAAGGAGGTAAGCGTGTGATCCCGGCATAGCCTATAAGCCCCCCCCCTAGAACTCATACACAAATCGTAAGTGAGATAAGAGGTCACTGTTTACCCAGTCAGTAACAAAGTAACAATGGACGTCAACATGAACTTGTGACAGAAGCGTCCTTTGTTCTCAGAGTGGTGGCAACCCGTGTGTTTGTTTCACCTTAGCACTCGGTCCATTTCGTTTTATTGTCATCCTTGCACAAAAGCAGCATCAAAAGAACAATGACAATGGGGGACCGACTTACACAGGTTCGGCTGTATTATGAATAGAACTTGTTTGAGTAAGACAATGTGATCGAATGTAATTAAGTCGGTCCAAGAGGTCAGAAAGTTCTACAGGAAAAGTATCCAAATTGGAAAATGTAGAGACAAAGTTGCTCTTAAGAAAACATAAAATTTATGAAAATGGCCAGCAAAGAAATGGAAAAGTGCATTGAATTCTTCATTAACAAATCTTCAAGGAATCAATGTAGCCCTAGCAAAAATCACCAAAAAAAAGTTTCAAAGAAATTTAGATAGCCTAAAAATTGTTAGATATACATTGAGAACTCAGTTTCACTTCAATTAATTATAGTGGTAAGACAGATTTTGGTTACACAGTGCAGTCCACGGTGCACACGGCAAAACAAAATACAGTCGAACCTGCCCTGACGGCCACCTCTATAAGACGGTCACCTGTACAAACAGCCACTTTCCATTTCCCCCCTTGCGTTTTTTCTATATAATTTAACTGTGTAAAACAGGCACCTGTCCAACGCGGCCACGGCCACCATATTTTAACACACAACCCCTATCACACTAAGCAATAACACCTGTCTTAGACGGCCACCATAATTTAACACACAACCCCTATCATACTAAGCAATAACACCTGTCTTAGACGGCCACCATATTTTAACACACAACCCCTATCATACTAAGCAATAACACCTGTCTTAGACGGCCACCATATTTTAACACACAACCCCTATCACACTAAGCAATAACACCTGTCTTAGACGGCCACCATATTTTAACACACAACCCCTATCATACTAAGCAATAACACCTGTCTTAGACGGCCACCATATTTTAACACACAACCCCTATCACACTAAGCAATAACACCTGTCTAAGACGGCCACCTTAGTGACTCCATTACGTTTTGTCATAAATTGTGCACTGTCCCCTTGCGTTGTGGGCGAGCCGTCATAATCTAATCCCCTGTCTTTGTTGTTAGGTAGTCCCTCCAACCGATCATGTTGCGTAAGCCCCTCCCACTGTTAACCAATAGGTAACAAAATTAATTTTCAGCTGCTGGTGAGGTAAGCGTGTGATCCCTCATAACCCATAACCCCGCCCAGAACTCATACACACAAATCGTAAGTGAGATGAGAGGTCACCGTTTACCCAGTACGTAACAAAGTAACAATGGACGTCAACATGAACTTGTAACAGAAGCGTCGCTCGTTCTCCGAATGGTAGCGACACATGTGTTTGTTTTACCATAGCACTCGGTCCTCCTTGTCTGACACATTCCGTTTTATTGTCACCCTTGTACAAAAGCAGCAACAAAAGAAAACAAGAGAAAACAACCCCAGCGAAAACAACAACAACAAAAATAACAACAACAACAATAACAATGCAGCTACCTTCGGGTGGGACATCAGAAAGGAATGGTTTGTTTTCTTTTTCTTGATCAGTCCTGCCTAAGACGGCCAACTGTCTTATACGGCCACATTTCTCCTTGACAATGGGTGGCCGTCTTACACAGGTTTGACTGTACATGTAGTTTCCTAGAGTCTAGTAAGTGTAGTGTAACCAAAGAATCTCTACTGCAGTAGTGTCCGCCTAAGATCCCAGTGCTCAGGAGCAAGGGAAATACGGGATCTTTGCCAATGAAGCCAAAGAAGAATATACAGTGACCCATGAACTGACGTGACCCCTGGGTGGGTTTATGACATATGGCGAGTACAGAGTGGTCAACCTTGATGACCAATCACAGTGGCATGAGACATGCCATACACATACACTCATTAGCCTATTGTGAGTCTTGAGATCTTTATCTACGTTTATCCAGCTGCCCCTCCCCTCTACCTGTCCTAAAATTTTAGCCTTCCATCTCTGATTGAGTCCCCCCTCCCCGCCTTTGTCATTACGCTCCATTACGTTGTGACCACACCAATTAAAATTCAGGCAGTCTCGCAAATTCGAGAAAAGAGAAAAACTGCCTTCAATGGTCAGGGAAGAGTTCACAGTTCGATGTGATCCTGCCTGGAGCCCTTCCCACCCTGCGAGTGATGTAAGTTTAGGTGGCGATCTCAGATGCGAGTGTGATGTTTGGGACAGTGCAAGGGGACAGTGCACAATTTATGACAAAACGTAATGGAGTCACTAAGGTGGCTGTCTTAGACAGGTGTTATTGCTTAGTGTGATAGGGGAAAGAAACGCATCGGTCAGTTTACGCCTCGGTGTGATTCCGTCTGGGGCAAACATTGTACCGTTTCATGGAGTTTTACGACGCTTGTGTGATCACATTCACGAGAGTGGCTGATCTTTGACGCTACGGGTAGTTCTTTGATCTCAACTTTTAACTCTTGGTTGATCGGCTGTGCCCACCTGGGTGTTTATTCCGTAAATTATTATCAGAAATGCCGGCACTTACTCTTTCATTAAGCTTCAAAAGTACTCAAAATGTCCTCTAAAAATACTCAAAAGTACTTTTATAAAAAGTATCGGAGTAGAGTAAAAGTACTGGTTCCCAAAAATGTACCGGAGTACAGTAAAAGTACCGAAAATTGTATCGTAAGTACAAGTACCGGAGTACTTTTACTCCGTTATAACCAGCTCTGCCTATATTGTTGTGCATATTTTTCAGTTTTGGATTAGAATTTTGCAGTCTGAAATAATAATGCACATTATTTGTAACGGGTCCACTCTTATAATACAGCTCTAGGCACTTTACGGTGCTTTCACGGGGCTGCACATTATTAATTTTATGAAAATAGGATCATATTGCCCTGATTCTGAGTTTTAAAACTTTATATTGCTGTTGAATCTTACTTTAGATCAGTCTTGGTATCGTTATATGTGAGTCATCGTGGTGAAATCGGGCGCTCGCATTTTTCCACCAGTTGAGCAATTTTATCGACATTTTGTTTTTTTGCTAAACACCTTTTACATTCATGTGAAATATGAAAACACATTTCCGTTCCATTTGAATTTTACTGAAAACCCTTGTGTAAAGGCACAAAATATGTAATTTTCAGTTTCAAAGAACTTTTATGCTATTGAAGTTACCAGACTTTGGCGACCATTTTCTCATTAATTTAAGCACTGAAACAAGGCTGCCCCACCTTCTTCAATTGCAAATAACTCGACTTCTATTCCAGCTAGATCGATTTTTTTTTCCACTGAAAGAAAGGCAAATGAATAAATAAGCTTTCAGATGATAGTTCAAATGCTCAAAAATTGAAGAGCGCCTGATTCCACCACGCCGTGACTTATGTGAGACAGCGTGGTGAAATCAGATATTATCAGGCGCTCGTCAAAATAATGAAAGTGAAGAAACGGGCATTTTTTTCGCAGGTTTGGGGATTTATTTCGAATTTTTGTTTTTTGGCTCCACACCTTCTTTGTCCGTTAAAGAACACATTTCTGTGTAAATTGTATTGAAAAACATTGATTAAAGGCACAAAAAAATGTAAATTTTCATTTTCCATGAACTCTCGAGCTAAGGAAATAACTAAACTTGGCCGCCATTTTCTTGCAAATTTTACCTTTGAAACCTGGTGACCCCCACCTCCTTCAATTGCCACTATCTCGACTTGTATACAAGGTAAATGGATGTTTTTTCTTCGAAAACAAGACAAATGAACAAGCTTGAAGATGATACCCATTCCACATGCTCAAAAATTGACGAGTGCCTGATTCCACCGCATCATGACACATATATAATGTGTTCCGTATCTCTGTATATTATATTTGTGTAAGTTCGTCACTTTGGCCGCCTAAAACTTTCGATCCACTTGATTTTCATATTTGACAAAATTAATGGTGGTTCAGAATCATTTAAAGGGTGCACAGTTTCATTAAGGAGCCTGAAGTCACTCTAGTTTAATTTTCAGTTTTTCAGTAGTTTCGTTTAGATCTAATATCGAGAAAAGTCCGTCGTCTAAGACGCCATTGTAAACAAGTGAGGTTTCTGTTCACTAGCTGTGCGCACTGATTCCACATCTTTGAAATTCTGGAGTGTACAACCACGAAAACGGAATAGAGAATCAGTTTATACAACTATTATATATTTGGCAACTTGGAAACACATGTGTCACTTTTTTCTCCATTCCAGTAGAGTGTAAATATAGTAGGCCAATGACTTTCACTTGGTGTTAATACACCGATCATTCTTTTCATCAAAAGGGGCCCCGGCTAGTTGTATAATATGCATGCAATAGTACAACTCTGTCGTACAAAAGGCTTTTTTTTTTTTGACCAGGTATGCTGTTTGAAAGTTTTGTCAAGAATAAAATTGAACTGAAGTTAAGTTTTTAAAAACTTTTTTTTTCAGATGGTAGTGCAATTCAGTGACAAATGTGTGGATTGTGAAAAGCTGTGTGGGGTGAAACAGAAAGATTTGGAGATTTTCATCAACAAGTTCAACAGTTTGTCGAAGGATGAGGTTGCCATTGCTTTGCTTGTGTCTGGGAAAGATATCATGAGCTTGTTATCTCATATGGTGCCTTGTGTTGGGTGTCGGAAAAGGTTAGTATTTAATGTGTACTCTTATTTGAGGGGGGAAAAAGAAAACTGATTTTAAGGTACTCTTTTCCAGAAATTTTGAGAATTCTGGAGGTATGATGTCTTGTTCGAAACTTTTTTGATGTGTTATGTTTTACGTTTGTCATTAAGCCTTTTTTTTTCTGTCAAGTGAGGACTAACAGTTCTTCCATGCGTTGGTGGCACCTTTTAGGTTCACCTTGTGTGATTGAAATTTCTGTAGTAGGGCTCTTCCCCTCAGAGAGATTGTCGTGAGAGAAGTTGTTGAAATTAAATGTCATAGAGGTGATTGTACTAATTACATTTTGTGTACGGTATATATTCTATCTATTGTTTGTCTCTACACTGTATTTCCAGCCTCTGTCATATTCTTCTTGTAGTTAATTTGTAACATCTTTGTTTGGAGTTCATATATACTGTAAGCTGTGCTTAGACCTGAAAACTACATTTCTTTTATTATACATGTATAGATCTATATATATATATATATATATAATATATATATATAAATATATATATTATATATATATATATAGATCTATACATGTATAATATATATATATATATAATATATATATAGTGTGTGTGTATTTACTTTATAATTGTTGTATGAGTGGTCTATAATTTGTTTTATTTCATTGTGATATATCATAATAGGAATTTTGAGTGTAATTTTTAGTTTGTAATGTTGTAATATATAAATATATATATGTTGTTGCTTGCTTTCTTTTTTTCTTTTTTTTCCTTTCTTTCCTTTTTTTTTCTTTTTTTAAAAATCCGAATTTCAGTAGGTTTTTTTAAAACTTTGTGTACATTTCAGTGTGGAAAGATTATTTGTTCAACTCCAAAAGTCTCAGCACCCTGCATTAGAGCCATTAGTTATCACGCCCAGAGGAGAGATGTCTGTTCGTCATGAGTATTTATTTGATCCCAGATCCCTCTTTTCCCTCTTTCATGTTCATGGGTGAGTAAATCATGTAACTTGAACAACATTAGTTATGATTGTCTTCTGTAAGTTTTGTCTGCGAATCAGATAGTAGAGAGTACCAGGTACTGAGGAGATAGTAAAGAGATAAAAGTACAGGGTAAAACAGGTATAAGTTACGATAAACTTTATAAATTGATCCTCCACTAGCAAAAAAAGTTACAATGTGTTTTATAGAATGGACTAAGTGGTTAGCACTGTTATAATGTGAATGGCTATTCGAATATAATATTTTAAAGTTGCCGTCAAAGGAATTCTTCCTTTTCTTTAAAAAAAATTTTTTTTTTTTGGTTAAATGTTTTACAGCGCTTGCAACTGCACATGGTCACATGAGCAGGCGGGACACATTAGCAGAGATGCTAACCAGTACGATTTTGTGTATTTTAGTAAGATTTTTTTCCGAAAATACGCGAATACGACTTTTCATGAAAAAATACGCATCCTGGAATGCGAAAAATATGAGATTCAGCTTGGGCGAGTAAAGGTAATTATCTCGAGTCCCATCTTTTGCCAAAATAGTATCAGTATCGCGGAACTGGAATATTTGAAAACCAAGTCCGATAAGGTCAGTAACTTCATTTTTGCCGGTCGCGATTGTGATATTGCGTTCACCTTTTCCCCGTCCAAGAGTACGTTTCACGCAAACAGACGGCTATGTCGGCAGGCGGACGTGTATGTGACACCGATGCTCGATCAGGAAAAGCAAGATCTACTTTCGCTTTCGTTACCACCGAGAAGTTTGTCAGCGGTAGTCTGATAACGTAACATTTGTGACTTGCAGGTTGTGCAGTGTACAATCTAAACGCTGTGTTGCCGTGCAAATAAAATTTAATCAACACTCGGACTCGTCTCTGTGCTGTCACGTGTGGGAAAAAAAGAAAAGAAAATACATGTGTCTTCCGATTTTTAGATTGTCTGGCTCGCCATCGTGACCGGTCACTGAACCTGCGCGCTTTCGCATCATAAATAAATGCGGCATCGTGTGAGCAAAGACCGTCTTTGGTGGGAGTAACTGCGTTGACAAAGACTTGGAAGCAAATTTCAGAATTTTGATTAGAGCTTTCTGCAAAGCGCTCGTTGGTGCAGGCCGTGTGCGGAATCGGGACCCTTCATTATTTGCAAGTCTGTGTTATTGAAATAAAGTGTTCGCGTTTCATTAGATAAGTGATAGTAAATTATCCCTACAGTGGATGTTGTAGCTTTGGGTTCAAGACTGGCAGATTTTCAGTGTCACTGCATCTTGCCCTCTCACAGTTGTTACAACTCTCACAATGCATAGGTCTACTTTAGCCATTCAAGTTATTGCTCTTCTTTGAGTTTGAACAATAATTTTAGTCTGTCAGTTCATAATATGAATCATGATACCCAGACTGGTGCTTGATAGTCGAAATTCTTGTTCTAGGCCCTTCCGAACGCTCAAAGCAGGATTAATTTTTTATATATAATAATGAGAGGAAAATATTATAATATTCTGAAATACTTAAGTCAAACAAGACCCCAGTACGACACTGAACACTGACATGTTGTTGACTGGATACATGTACAATCGAACCTGCCTTAACGGAAACCTGTATAAAACGGAAACCTGTCTTAACGGAATCTCCCCGCTCCCCCCTTGATATATTCCTCTTTAATTACCTGTATAAAAGGGAAACCTGTCCAACGCGGAAACGGAAAGAAAAATCCGCTCCCTTCCGATGGTTTCACCTGTCTTAAGACGGAAAATGCTTTACCCCTCAGCCCTGATTTGAAACAAAACTCACAAGTTTGGTTCTGCCGGCTCTAAACTTAACGCCATGGCCATGCCTCTAGGCGAGGAAGGGAAGTTGGGGTGCAATTTGGGGGTAGATGTTACCCCATCATGCGAGCCCTGAGTGATGCAGATGGTCAGTGTAGTGTGGATGGGAAATCTCATGACTGCCCGTGAGAGTGCTCGAGTAGCGAGCCACTACGCAAACTTTCCTAGGTACCCAGAAGCCAGAGGTGTGAAATTAGTTTGACCAATGGCTGCTGCCCTGATCGTACGCCAGCCGAGAAAAGAGTTCCTTGAATCATTGTTACAACGATGGCAGTGACGGATGGCATTGGTTGACTGTGCTTGTTACACCGATGGGTGGGGCTAAGGGTGGAAGCAAAGGGGGTGTTCAAACGTTTCTGTTTTTAATAGGTCAAACAGTGATCCTATGAAAGGCAAGCACTGGTGGTAATTGGGTAAATAAGACTGCCGCATGTCATTATCAGACAGGATAGCAGTTGAGAGGTGTGAAGTTTTGACCACTGCCTGCCGATCGGGCAAGCGATCCTTGATCCCACCGGCTGGGTTTTTTAACACCACCCCCCTTCCATCTCCCCTAAATTCCCGTCTAAGACGGAAAATGTCTAAGACGGAATTTTTTTCTGGCTCCCTTGCGTTTCCGTCTTACACAGGTTCGACTGTATATTGTATGCGTGTGTGCTCCCTTTTTCGAGCTGATGAGCGGTAAATTTTTTTCAGGAAATATTGCTGGACACCCTGAATTTTAGTTGGTCGGTCAGTCATGGGGAATACACATTTCCCCCTGAAAATACACATTTTCATATTTCCCAGTACTCATTTCGGTTTTCTGTGGTTGGCATCTCTGCATTAGACATTTTCAGTTGGTAGGAAATTTTGAATTTTGCCCGGGTGGCAGCCAAAGCGTGCTCGTATTGATTTTAGACCACCAAGGGATCTTTAACGTGCGCAACTTGCACACTGGACCTCCAAGATTTTTCACCCTTTATCTGAAAAGGCTAGGTGTAGATCTTTCCTACCATAAGATCAGGGTTGTTGCTGAAAGACAGCAGTAAGAAGGAGCCAAGGAGTAGCAGTACAAAGGCTGCAGAAAGGGTCAAGAGCCCAGAGGAGGGGGCCAAGGAGGTGAGGGGGCAAAAGTGGAGACGGCAGAACATTGTTAGAGAGCAGGACAGGAGTTGAAAAAGAAGAAAATTTTTCCGTCGCTACGTGGATTCAAACACAGGACCTTTGAATGAGAGGCGAACACCTTAACCTCTAGTCCCCTGGACTTCTTTCTGATTCAGACTTTCCTTAAATTGTGTACCATGCCAATATGAATATTTCAATGGTGAAAATGTATTTTCAATTCAATATCAATGTAATAGATATTTCTAGAGGGTTAGGGTATTTCTAGAAATGCGAGTCTATTTTGAAAGATGGTAGTTCACAAACATGTATACATAATTGTTTTTCTCTTATAATAAATGTATTTTTTGTTGAAATGGGGAACCATGTTTTGGTTGATTGGGTTAATGGTTTATGGACTTATTTTAACCCCTTACTTCCTGTTAAGTACTCTCATCACCAGCAAGTACGCTGCTAAGGTTATGAAGCATGAAGGAAAGTGGTAAATGGCTGTTTTGAAATATCTCTAACACTAATGATTATAATTTGCTGTTGCTTTCAATTGTAACTTTTTGTGTTAATAAGACATTGTTCTTCTGTCATCGTACTAGAATAAGTTGCTTGTTTTCTTTTCAAACTTAAAATATGCATATTTATAGATATACATGCTTGTCTGTTTAGATCCAAACTCCACTCTGTTGTGGAGTCTATACCAAAGAGCAAGAAAAACAAGAGGTGCAATTTGCATTCATTGGAAACTCACAAGTCAAAGACCCTGGGGTATGTAAGACTGTAAACAGAATATTTGTATAATTTTAGTTATAGCTGATGTTTCTTCATTTTCTGTCATAACCCACAACCTGTCTATGGTTTATATATATGCAAAACGTTTGACATTAACTGTTTCACTTCAAACTTTGTCAAACAGATGAAGGAAGTTTAATAAAATATTGATCTTGTTCATGATTTTCAAGTGTAATTTAATTTAATTCAGAGTTTGTCATTTGATAAGAGTTTATGGTGCTAGCAACTGCATAAGGTCATATATGTATTTTATGTGCTGGGCTCCAGTTAGTTATTTTCATGTTAATTCACAGCATGGCTTGGTATGAGCTTGTAAATAATATAAAATTAATAGAAAAAATTTCAGCTAAAAAAACAGTAATTAACATTTTTATAGCAATATCTGCTTTTTGAAGTGCAGACCAAAAGTTTTTATACAATCAAGAATTCACTGGGATCAACAGTGAGGAACAAATTAATGCATGATATTTCCTTCAGGTCTCTCCAAAGTCTGGAGATTCCTTTAGCATGTGCTTGATCGTAAAGTCAGTATCATATCTGGCACAAAATTAATTTTTCCAATCCCCGCAAAAGGTATTTATGGGTCAGGGAAGTATATTCAATTTGTAATTTTGTTAAAATTACTTTGTCTCTTCTGAAGAGCCCCCAAAGGTTTTCGTGGATGCAATTCAAAATCTAATGTGGAATTGATAAAAAGATACAAGTTAAATTGTGACTTGACATGATTAACAATTGTACAATTTTGCTTCTCCTCATCTTTTTATACAGGAGAAAAATAATCATTTTGTCTTTTTGTATAGCAATTTGTTTTCTTTTCTTTGTCAGATGCTGGTTGGAAGCATGGGATGCGCTTTCAGACTCGTGCAGGGAAAAGGTTTTAGTGGTCGACATGAACCGTTTGCTTACAAGTGTGGAGTCGTATCTTGAAAAGCACAAGTACGTTTTGTCTTATTCTGGAAGTTATCAGTTTAAAAATTTATTTTTTGTGGAAAGTACCTTACAGCAAAAAAGCAAATTCAGAACTCACTCTTAAAAAAGCCAAGTGTTTACACAAGCATTCAACCCATACCATATCAAATTAATTCCTATGAATGAAAACTGCTCAATACTATAATCTGTTTCTCTTTTCGTGGTCAAGACTTTATGAATGCATATATAGTGGAACTCGGATTCAAGGAGATGAGATAGATTCCCCGTTTTTTTTTCCTTCAATAAAAATAATGCGGATTCAATGAGCACTTAAATCAGCGAGCTCGGATTCAACAAGGTCGCTTCCAGGGTGAACAGCCCCTGCAGACGTGGCTTCGCTCATTTTTCTCCCACAACGAACTTTATCTTTTCCCAGAAACCATCCATTGCACCTGCATCGGGAACCATTATTCACTTACCCGATTGCATGCAACCAATCAACGGCCTTTTTCCATACCAACACATTCGTTGTTGGCAGGCGCATGTGTCTACTCTAGCGTGTGTCAGGGTTCGGATTAGCGGCCTGCACGCATGTGGCTATGTGTGCGAGTTTGGGGGGGGGGGGGGGGGTGATTGAACGTGGCAGATACAAACGTGTCACAGTCTTTTTTTTCCCCTCGGCAACTGATCATTATTACAATGATAAGCTAGTCTTGGCGTAGATCTACGTAATAAATTGTACGCTGGTCTATGGAATCAAAAGTAGCCGTATGCTAGGCTCTACACAGCAACACAACTTTTTTTTGGTAAACAATCGAGATGACACAGGGGTGTGCATTTGAACGAATCGGTTATTTTTTTTTTACACATCTCATAATATGCAGGCATTTCAGGCACTACTTGAGACTTCTCTTTATACATTACTTGCTCAGTGCATGTAACAGGGCTGTCTACCTCAAAGTTCCCATTTCAGGTAGCTTTAGGGTCAGTTTCAGGTATTTTGGCCCAAAATCAGGTAGTACAAAGAGAAAGAAGGGGAAAAAAAAAGATGATTGTTGCCCCATTGAACGTGCTTGCTTTTCGTGATATTGGGTAATTATATTTTGAAAACTTGTTTGTGCTTGCACCTGTGTGTGTGTGTGCGTGCACGCTCTCGCGTGTGTATATATGAGGGGAGGGGAAGGGGGTGTTTGGGTGCGCACAGGTTAAGATTAACAGTGGGTATGAAATGAGGAGCATTTGGTGTTTTTTTGTGGGGTTTTTTTAAGCGGTTGAATCACATGGCTAGCGTTATGTATTTATCCAGGTCTTTTCCGAGGCAATTTACAGATTTCCTCAAATTCCGACATATACAACAACAGGTTGCTCTTTTTAAATCTCTCTCTAAAGTCGTCTGGGACAATGTGTGACTTTTTCTGTTTTCTTTGTTACTCTCTGTAAAGGCCTCTGAGGCTTTGAAAGTGTTAGTCAAGATAGATTTTGTCTGTATTCTGTCTGTAGTAAGGGAAAGCAATTCCGTCAAGTTTGTCGAAGAATTACTTATCACTAAATTGCTTGTCCTTTTCTGGTCTCTGGTAATTTGACAATCGTGGAGTTCCCATCTCCAAGTCATGTAAACTGTCTTTGCAACAGTCATGAATAACCACTTTGTGAGGGCAGCTGTATACAAACTCATTGTTGTTTCAAATTGAAGTGTGGAGCTGGAGAGTTGAAGTTGGAAAGTTTGTTGAAGAGAGAATTTTCGAGGCGAATATGTTTATGAGTTGCTTTTTTTTCGAGTGGCAAATTAAGTATCATCTACCCAGCACTGATTTGCTAATCAATGATTCAAGAATGGTACATGACAGACACAGCTAAGGGCACACACTTAAAGTTAATTAAAAAACGCGAAAAGTCATGATTAAAAACATTTTGCAATAGTTGTATCAAATGTGAAATAAGCGCCCCTTAGCTGTCAATCATTGACTTGTAAGTAAGTTCATTCGTCAGTAGCTTTTGCCACAATTCACTGACTTGGTCGAGTCAGTATTAACATATTCTTTGATGCCATCTTGCTATTTCTCAACTACACTGCAAAACCTAGTGATAAATTACGCCAACTGCCTTGACAAAATCTTTTGGCTATCGATAGGGTTCGAAATGAGTCGAAGTTAACAAAGGAAGCACTTTATTTTTTATGTTACCCTCCAGTCTGTTTTGACGAAGGCCACAGTCGTGTAAGTCACGCTGCCTACACGACGGGTAAACATCTCAACAAACCACTGATCTGCGTGATTCAACTGTCCATTCGCCACCGGGCTGCAAAACTTGCACTTGGGCGGTTGAATCACTTGGAAATTGGGGACTGGTGTGATGTAGGCGATTGATTTACTGAAGGGTTGAAACACTTTGCAGTAATCTTTGAAACTCAGGATTTTAACATAAAGTGTTTCAAAGGCTGTACTGCATAAAGAGATTTTAAAAATGGGTAATTTTGTCACTCAGGCGGTTGAATCACGCGGCTTGTGATAAAAGTTCTTGAATATTTGAGAACCAAATCCGATAACGTCCTTAAGTTAATTTTTGCCGGTCGCAATTGTGATATTCATTCGGCTTTTCCCGATCTGAGAGTACGATTCACGCAAACAGGCAGCTATGGCGGCAGGCGGAAGTGTATGTGTGATACAGAGGCTCGATCGGGAAAAATCAAGATCTACTTTTGTTTTCGTTACCGCCCAGAAATTTTCTGGTAATAGTCCGATGGATAAGGCAACATTTGTAACATGCAGGTTGTGCATTACAAATGCTGTGTCGCCATGAAAATAAATCAATATTTGTCCTGTGCTGTCACTAGTTAAAAAAAAGAAAGTTATACAAGCGTCTTGTGTGGCTCGCCATCCTGATAGGTCAGTGAACCTGCGTGTTCGTATCACATGATAAGGCATCATGTGAGTACCGGCGGACTGAGCACTGTGAAGTATAGGACTCCGGAATGGGGGAGAGGGGGGGTATTGATTTTGTTACGTATCCCAACTCTGACGAAATTCAAACAAATGCTTATTATGTTAAAAAAATGCAAAAGACAGTGAAATAATTTAGGCAAATGAGGACCATACTTGTGGATTTAGTTTGACAAAGTTACAGGAGAATCCCGCTATTTGTTACAGAAATCCTGGGCGGTCAAAGAACGTGCTTGATGTGGCGGCAGTCACTAGAGACACACTCACTTTCTCGGCGTTGAAATTTGATTTATTACCTTCGGCCACTGCAGAATTTGTCGAGCAATGTACTCCACGTTTGCCTCAGTTCACAATGGTTGGGAAAAGTCTGAACAATCATCTGCCCCAGAGTTGGAAGTCCAACGGGTTCAGGTTGGGATTGTATGAAGCTCGGCACAAGGTATACCGCGACTTCTGTTGAAGTGATTCTGGTTCCACTCGATGACTGGAGCTTACAGTGTGCTGCTTCTTGCTTGAACCACGGTCATTTCCGCTCCTGAGGTCCCTCATAATCTTCTCAATGATCTTCAACCCAGATAAAAAATCTTCAGATAACGATCTACTGCCACTGTTGGTATACAATAGTCTTCACCCATGAACCCGTTCGGACCAATGAGTCCTACTGCAACCCACGCATTCTGTGTGTACAGGTTTCGGTCAACTACGTTGTCTGGTCTTTCTGAACTCCAGTGAATGTCATTTCTTGTATTCATGTGTCTGTTCAAGTACAAATAGGCTTCATCGCGGAACCGCTCTTTCCATGAATGAATTATCACATTAGCATGATCCCCAAGAAACCATAGACGCCGTTTGATCCGTTCCCTATCGTGGGAACCGGAAATAACTTGGTATTAATATCGAGGTCGTGTATCAAAATTTTATGAACAGAAATTTTTGAAACATGGAAATCAACTCTCCGACGATGAACCTTGTCGTTTACTTTTCCTTTGTTAGACACAGACACACATGTCCGGCCTTTTCAAGTCGACATACTTTCCAAGGATGGTGTTGTTTGACTGCAGACTGAAGCCCGTCCTATTGTTGATTTTCGACGATGACATTTTTTGTCTGAGGCATGCCATTTTCACTTATTATCCTGTCGTGAGTCTCAAGATCTACGCTGATCCAGTTTCCCCTCCCCTTTCCCTATCCTAAATTGATAGCTTTCCATCTCTTGACCGAGTTCCCCCTCCTTTGTCGTTACCCACCGTTACATTTTGACCACACGAAATAAGATTCAGTCTGTCTCGCAAATTTGGGGAGTAGAGACAATTGCTGCAATGGTCAGGGAAGAGTTCACAGTTCGATGTGATCCCTCCTGGAGCAAAGTTAGGTGAGGAGCTCAGATGCGAGTGCGAAGTATGGGGAAAACAAACGCGTCGGTCTGTTCCCACCTTGGTGTGATCCGGTCAAGGGCAAACATTCATAAACAGTGTACCGTTTCATTGAGTTTTACAGCGCTTATGCGATCACATTCACGAGAGTGGATGATCTTTGACGCCATGTGTAGTTCAATGATCTCAACTTTTCATCTTGGTTGATCAGCTGTGCAAGCCCGGGTGTTTGTTCGGTAAATTATGATCTGAAATACGGGATCTTATCCGGATACATAAATCTTCAGAGTGAACCAGAGCAGGATCTTAGAGGTGACTTTTAAAAAAATATAAATTCTATTTTCTTAAAACAGCGGGATCTTACGCGAACCGGGATTGTACACGATGGGATCTTAAGCGGAGATATAATATATAAAATGTAACCCACATTTTTCAACTTACTTACTTTCAAGTTTGATATCGATCGTGTAACAAATAACTCTCAAGAACGTTTGTTTGAATTTCGCTAGAGTTGAAACAACAGGTGCAGTGTGTGTGTGTGTGAATCTGTGTGTGTGTGTGTACGTTGTATATATGTATATGCTATGTAGATACATATATACATACATATATATTATATATATATATATAATATATATATATATATATATATATATATATATATATATATATATATATATATAAAATATATGTATATGGGGCTCTCGTGGCCTAGGGGTTTAGGTGTTGGCCTCTCATTCAAAGGTCCCGGTTTCGAATCCGGGTAGCGACCGAACAATTTTCTTCTCTAAAATTGTCTCCTTTCACCTCCTTTCCTGCTCTCTAGCAATGTTCTGTTGTCTGCTTTCATTTCCACTTTCTGCCCCCACCCCCTCACCTCCTTTGCCCCCTCCTCTGGGCTCCTGACTCTTTCTGCAGCCTTTCTACTGCTACTCCTTGTGTCTTCCTTACTGCTGTCTTTCTGCCACACCCCTGATCTTCTGATAGGAAAGATCTACACCTAGCCTTCTTGGACAAAGGCGAAAAATCTCGGAGGGCCCGTTTTCAAGTTGCGCATGTTGAAGATCCCTTGGTGGTCTAAAATCGATAAGAGTAGGCTTCGGCCGCCACCCGGGCAAAATTCCAAATTTCCTACCAACTGAAAATATTGGGTGTGTCCCGCGCGGTCATATGACCTTATGCAGTTGCGAGCGCCGTAAAACACTTTACAAAAAAATATATATATATTATATATTATTATAAATATATATATCAGTGTCTGTGGCGTAGCTGTCATGTGCTTTTCCGTCGCACGCAGAAGACCCAACATACAGAGAGAGAGAGAGATGAGAGGAGAGCAAAAGAGAGTAAAGGTAATGGTAGAGAGAGGCAGAGGTTAAGAGAGAGACAGAGGGGGCGGAGTCAAGTACCATCCTCCCATTTCTCCTTTTTTACTCTCCTTCTCTAGAGCACTCGTTGTTGCTATATAGCAACATTTGGTTAGGTTTAGCTCAGTATATTGATTATACTCTATTGATGAGATCAGAATTATGAAAAAAAACCAACCTGAATCAGAGTTGCTTGTAGTGTAAGCTATTTAGCTTACATTGAAAGGCATCGACACTTTTCCTAAAGAGTCCCCGTCCATCCTTCCGCGTGTTTTCTTTTACTCATCCGTACCCCATGTGACTCTACCATTGAACAGAACTGGACATTGAATGCACCTGGAACGCACGCTCAGATGTTTGTATGAGTAGGAGGGTCTCTTATTGAGGACACAAAAGTGACACAGTTTTTCTGATAGGTCATGCACATGTATTGCAAAGAATGATCTACAATATGCACATATCATCCTCCCCTCCCCCCCCCCCCCCAAATGGACCGATTGTGGGGTGCTTATTCAAGAGACGCTGATTGTGAAAAATGGGCAAAGACTCATCACTCTGACCTGCTTGCATGATAAACTGTTACTTTAGGTCCTAGGTCGCTTGAATGTATCTTTGATGCGTATGAAATTATTTGTTAAAATGAATGACAAAAAGAAACCAAGGATTTCTTCTCTTTTCCGAGAGCCGATGGATGCAAGGTTCACTGCAAATACATTCGTTAATGGTACTGTGCATTGGTACGTTGTCTCTTCCAACAATACATTATTACTGTAGTTGGTGCTGAAGCTACCTCTATTCTTTTGAAAGAAATGCTTGTTCTGTATGGGATTTTCATATGAATGAGCGTCCTAATCTTCTGATATGTTCATGAATGAACGTAACAATGACCAATGCTATACAGTTTGCAATGCAAGTCTCACCAGGATTACACTTTTCAACACTACAACTGCTGCTACCTCATACTCATAGCAATCAAAAAGTTTATCAAGGACCACTAAACTAACTTTTGATATTGGACAACAGCGCAAAACATCCCTGGCACTGCATTAGCAAAACTATACTTTACTGGTCCAGCATTAGACACACACATATCCAGCATTATTGTAACACAGTATACCTCTCCACCCACCCCACTCTCTCTCTCTCTCTCTCTCTCTCTCTCTCTCTCTCTCTCTCTCTCTCTCTTTCTCTCTCTCTCTCTCTCTCTCTCTCTCTCTCTCTCTCTCTCTCTCTCTCTCTCTCTCTCTCTCTCTCTCTCCCTCTCTCCCTCCCTCCCTCCCTCCCTCCCCCCCTCCCTCTCTCTCTCTCGCTCTCTCTCTCTCTCTCTCTCTCTCTCTCTCTTTCTCTTACCCCCCCCCCCACTCTCTTTCTCCCTCACCCCTCACAAAAATAATGATACACATCATGGTAATTGTAAGGACAAACGTCGGAAAAAAAACTTGAAATTTGACTATGAGAGTAAAAGCTACTTCATAGATCATACAATACATGCACTTTCAAAAATGAAAACTTAGCTTAGATGTACCTGCTCTGTAGCCTGCTTTAAAAAGAGGGATCAGAAACAGGATTATGTCTTGTCAAATGCAAAAGCGAATTTGACAGTTTCATCAGTGGCAGTAATCCAAACGGCTGTCTAATCGGAAGAAGAAACGAGGGTGATCGTAAAGTACTGTTGGAGACCGAACACCGCGCGGCATTGTACCAAAGATTCTCTTCTAACGATCTTTGATTGTGTGACTGAGTGTTGACGTCATAATATATTATTTGTAGCAACGGGGTTTCGTTTTGTCCAAGACAACCCAAAATTTACAAAAAGAGGAACCCTGTACCTTGCATTATATGTGCCCAACTGCCAGAAATACATACATCTTGATCGTCTTGATCGTTTTTTGTCTTGAAAGAACAAAAGCTAGGGAGCACAACGATACTAAACATGTTATGGTGACATGGTGACACATGGTTGTTGTCACGTTCCAATTATGGGCTAATTTGAAGAAAGCGCGCCAACTTTTGGGAAGGGTGTTCTCTGGAAAACTTCTCTAACGGTGAATTCTAGTCTTTTTTAAAATGAAACATCAAGCGATACCGATTCTTTAGACATTCAGGTACCCAAAAATGGAATAAGTTAAAAATCGAATTTTTGACCTAAACACCGTGTTTTGCAGACCCGTGTCATGCCTCAATAAAAATGTATATGAAAATGTGTTTTCACATGAACAGAAAAGGTGTTTAGCCAAAAAAAACAAAATTTAGATAAAAATTGCCAAAATGGCGGAAAAATGCCCGTTTCTTCGATTTCATTATTTTGACGAGCGCCTAATTTCAACACAATGCCTCGCATATATATACTAAATATACTAATATATGTCTAACGTATATATATGTGGATCGATAGAGATTGATATAAATGGAACTCACGCTGTCATTGTTATGTAACATCCCTGGAAAATGGATGAGAGCCCCCCCCCTGGAAAATGGATGAGAGGCGACCCCTGGAAACTTGAGAAGCTAGTTTGGCAGTCACCCAGTATTATACCTATCTTTTTGTTTGAAGGCTATACTACAAAATGTACATATATATGCATTCATTTAAAGATATGTAGACTTTTTATCATTGTTAGATGGGTTTTTGGGATCATTCTTGATGCGCAGCGGCCTTATTTTTCCCTTGAATTGGGGTCTTGAAAAATATTTGCAGGATTTGGTGGGGACCCTGGTCTTGAAAAAGTACAGCTGAGACTCTAAAGGTTTTTTTTAGTCTGGTGGTGGATAATGTAAACGTCTAAGTTATTTACCTTTAGATTATTTGAATTAGAATCAATAAGTTTAAAGTAAATCTGTTTTGATTGGTACAGTATCAGGGAAATGTGCATAACAAACATGTTTGTGAATGGGTTATATGATAGCTTAATCAACTAAAGCTAAAGATTGTGCTTTCCCATGGTTATAAAAAAAAATTATTATAAAATTACATTTGTTTATTTTTCTCAGGTTTTGCACTGAATGTAAATCTAAAGTGCTGCTGGCATACAGCATACTTGTGGGGGATCACGACAGCTCTGTGGAGAAGGGATACTGTGCTGCCTTGTACGAAAACTTGAGATGCTGCGCTAAAGAACGCCATGTTCACGTTCTCAATGATACTGAATTCATCGCTCACTTGCTGGAGAAAGCCGAGCCTGAATTCCTTGGAGGGTATGATGCTTTGAGTGCTTTTAATATATATATATATTTTGTTTGTTTGTTTGTTTTGGTGCTGTCTTTGTTTACCTGGTGGGGGGGGGGGGGGGGGGTGCCTCTGGTGGTAAGTCCTACTTTTTTATTTTCCCTCTATTGTTTCTGGTAAGTCCTACTTCTTTATTTTCCCTCTATTGTTTCTGGTAAGTCCTACTTTTTTATTTTCCCTCTATTGTTTCTGGTAAGTCCTACTTCTTTATTTTCCCTCTATTGTTTCTGGTAAGTCCTACTTCTTTATTTTCCCTCTATTGTTTCTGGTAAGTCCTACTTCTTTATTTTCCCTCTATTGTTTCTGGTTAGTCCTACTTCTTTATTTTCCCTCTATTGTTTCTGGTTAGTCCTACTTCTTTATTTTCCCTCTATTGTTTCTGGTAAGTCCTACTTCTTTATTTTCCCTCTATTGTTTCTGGTAAGTCCTACTTCTTTATTTTCCCTCTATTGTTTCTGGTAAGTCCTACTTCTTTATTTTCCCTCTATTGTTTCTGGTAAGTCCTACTTCTTTATTTTCCCTCTATTGTTTCTGTCTGTGCGTCTTACTTTTTTCCCCTGCACTAGATACATTGTATTGATGCGCTTCTCTTTACTCAAACATCATTTATGCAATAGTAAGTTTGACTTGGGGGGGGGGGGCGCATGTCTTTCTCTTAGGATCATGTTCTATACTAAGTTAATAAGCCTCGTGATAGATCCACGGTATATATACTATGTTGTCATAAAGATTTATGATAATTATGAGCTGGAGTATGCTAATGAATCATGTCACTGATTTGTCTACAATTGGGAAAACAGTACCGCATGTCTGTGTCAGTATACTAAAAGAAAGACATTATTTTCTGCTCAAACATTGTTTATGAATTTAAAGTTCAGTGCAGTACTGAAATGTTTTTCTGGTTCATAGGCTGTAATTTTTTGGGGGGGGGGGGGGGGGGTTGAGTTGAAGAATGCTTCATAATGAAGCGTATCTGCAGTTCTGACAAGAAAGCAATGTGTTTAATGTTCTTTTTATTTTTTCCTCCTCAGAAAACGTGATCGTCATGCGAAAACGTTAGACATAGCTCAAGAAGAAGTTTTGACGTGTTTAGGTATTCATATATTTGAAAGACTACATCACATCTGGCAGAAACTGAGAAGCGAAGAACAAACTTGGCTCATCCTTTTCTACATAGGAGTGGATGCCCTTCGCAAAAGTTATCAGGTAATTTGTTGTTTTTTAAATTTGTATATATCATCTAGCTGAACCTAGTCTAGTCACCAACTGTCCTAGACAACCACCTGCACAAACAACCCAAAATATGTCAGAGACAACACTACTCTCTCCTCGCCTGAGTCATTGCCATAGATTATAATCAAAAGGAAACATTTGAACACCCTTCCCTCCAAGAAAAACCCCCCAACTAATAAACTCAAATTATTTTTTCTTTGTTTGATATTTTTCTTCTCTGATTTTTAAAGTAGTCCCATCCTTTGCTCCCTTAAAGCAAGATCAGCCCTATTTAAAACTTTTGTTCTTTTGGAATTTGGAATTAGTCTGTCTTACCTTATGCAGGGCTGCCTAAATCTATCGATTTTTCCGGTAGTTACCTATTTTGGGCCTGTTCTACCGTCATACCGATAAGGTGTCAAATCTACCGGATTTGCGATGGGTGCTGAAAGAAGAAAAAGGTTTTAAAAAAGCCGTTCTACTGTGCTTCCAATCTTTCTTGTTTTTGCGGAAATCCGTACTTTCCGAAAGTTCCGTGCTTGCCGCATGATCATATCAACTCCATGCATTAGAGAGAGAGAGAGAGAGAGAGAGATTAGCACTTGCCTCTGCAACTTCTCGGATATTTACGGCAACTCTCGGCAATATGTTGTATTAGAAAGTGCCAGATTGCGCATTTCGTACACTTGACCATTGTCTATTGTGCCTTTCGGTCGGCAATAGTTTTTCACATGCATATCAGCTAAAATCTGTCTACTCACGATAGATATAATATTCCTCCTTCCTTTCATTCATTCATTCTTTCTGTCTATCTTCGGGTTTTTGTTGCAGCTGGAAAATCTGTGCATTTAATTCATTTATCTAGAAAACAAAATTGTGAATGCAGAAAGAAAATCAGTAACAAAGAAAAACATTCTAAAATCTGTCTTGATCTAGAGAATTGGTCAGTACCAAATGAGGATTTTACGCAGGGGGACTGCAGGAATTTCCCGGGAATGTGGGGGGGGAAAAATCGCCGAGACCCAAGTTAATGCACAAAGTCCTCAAAACCAAATCTGAAAATGCCACCGAGTTCATATTTTTCCGGTAGCGTTTGTCATATTACGTTCGGCTTTCCCCAGTCCGAGAGTACGTTTGACGCGAATAAGCGGCTATGGCGGCAGGCGGAAGTGAATTTGTAATACAGAGACTGCATCGGGAAAGACAAAATCTACTTCGGCTTTCGTTACCGCTCAGAATTGTCTGATGCTAGTTTGTTAACGTTGGATTTACTGTTAATAAGAATTTTAAAAACACAGTGTCGCCATACAAATTAAATCGATATTCTCACTGCTGTCACTATAATAACAGCAAAAAAAATGAAAAAGAAAACAAGTATCCTACGATTTCTAGATTGTTAGGCCCGTCATCGTGACCGGTCAGTGAACCTGTGCGTGTTTACATCGTGTGAATATGGCATGAGTAAGGGACCGGCTGGCGGTTGTTGGGGTAATCAAAGTTCATTCAATGTAGGAGCGTGGCAGGGCTTCTGAATTGAGGGGAGGTGTTAGACGCAATGAAGTCTACGGCTGCGGCGCAAGAAACTGATGCTAAAATAAAAATGATAAGTGGAAGTGGTTTTGACATTCGATAATTGAGCGCGTAAATGAGGAAACGTCAGAGTTAGAGTACAGGCTTGATGATTGTATCTTCAAGATTGGTGTTCCCGGATTTGTCGGATTTGTCAATGATGACAAATTGAATAGTGATGAGGAAATGCCATTTTCAACCCTCGGAAAGCTCTATGTTGGATGCCTATGCATCATGATTTCTGGTTGCTGATTACAAATTGGTTCTGTGATTTAGCATTTTGAAAAAAAATCAATACAGTACTTAGTCCATGATGCAGTGATTCACTGATTGTCAGGTTTTCAGCTTCACTACGTCTCACACTTTCATCCTTCCAGCTCCAGCTTTCAGTACATGCTCTCTTCTAATGTCATTCTTGCTCTGCCATGAGCCTAACTGTAAAGGGTTTATAAGTAAGTTTTGTCTTGCATGCTTTTTAAAATCAGTGATTGCTGAAACCAAACATGGTTTTATTAGTTGATGTTCTTATTGGCTCTCCTCAGGCCCAGATCAGGATTCATTTTGTATTCTTAGGGCAAAACTAGTTAACTCTTTGTCTCCGGCAAGCTTCTCCCAACGGCTCGCGGTCGGAACCACAGTGCCGGTGAGCCGTCAGGCGCCTTCCATTACGACGACTTTGACATGAAATTACTTTTCGGCAATTGCCAAAAACAAAAAACAGGTCTCTTATACCAGAAGTTCATTCATTAGATGAAGAACAATCAAAATATGTTTGCTAGTTTCGATTTAATTATCTATTTCATGATGTTTTTGTCATTTTTAGATTTAGAGCAAGCCCCCCCCCCCCCCCGCGCGCGCGCGCGGAGATAAGGAGTTAAAATTGTCTTTCATACCTAAGTCACAAAGGACTTACCAGTGTCCTATGCTAGTGTTGGATAATTTTAATATTGTTTTTATTGGTATGGGCTAGGGGTTTTGAAGTCAGTTTGGCAGTCACCCTGCACTCAATTCCAGATTCAATACTGAATGATAGGTGCCGTGAATGATGGTCCAAAAATGCTTTTAAAAAAAACAAAAAATAAACACACAAAAAAACTCACCTCATTTCATACACACTGTTCATTTTAACTTTTGCACACTTTAACATCCCCTTCCGCTCCCCACTTACATAAATAATAATAATAATAATAATAATAGATTGCATTTATATAGCTCTCTACCCATACTAGTATAAGCTCTGAGCACTTTACACCAATTACATAATCATTCCCCCAAGAAAAAATATTTTACAGAAACAAGAAAAACCAGTTCAACCACATAAAGAAGAACTTTCACAACTATACATTAACTATACACAAAAGGACAGTGAAAAAAGGGATATATCTATTATCTATTTGTGGTGGCCGAATGTTGCTATTCAAAAGGCTTTTTAATGGCTGCATCGATAGACATGCGGTTTTCGCCAAAATATTTTAAAAAATATTCTCCAGATCATGGCGCCCTTGGTTTTTTCAGTTTTGAAACAGTTTTGCTGCTAAAAGCTACATTTCTTTATTTCGCCGATCGCTTTTGTAGGCCGACGCTTCTGTCTGTGTAATTTTAGAAAATTCCGAAAGCGATATTTCGCGGGGCGCATTTTGTTTTGAGAGTATAGATCTAGACCTTCTAATTTTTTGTATCTCTCAATATTTATTGTCTCATTCCAGTAGAGTGTAAATATAGTAGGCCAATGACTTTTAGTTGATATTAAAGCACCGATCATTCCTTTCATCAAAAGGGGGCCCAGCTAGTATATATATATACTTAGTATGTATATTACAAAAACTGATGGCGCTCATTTGACCTTATGCAGTTGCGAGCGCCGTAAGACCTTCTACTAAAAAAAAATTTTTTAAACAAAAACTGAACTTTCTAACACTCTATAACTAACAATTGAACAAATGAGTCTTGAGCAATCGCTTAAACCTATCAAAATTTGCTGTTTCTCTGAGATCCTGAGGCAAGATGTTCCAGATTTTTTGGCCGAAAAATGAGAAACTTTTCTCTCCAAAATATCGTAGTTTCATTCTAGGGGCTCTGAATTTTGTTGCATCTGTGGATGACCGTAACTGGCGAGATGGATGAACATACAGTGTTAAAAGCTCAGATATATAGGATGGGGCTTTATCGTTAAGACATTTAAAACAGATGGCAAAAACTTTATATTGGATTCTTTTATCAACTGGAAGCCAATGCAGAGCTTTTAACATTTTTGATACAGGATCTTTCTTCTTTTTCTTCAGCACTAGTCTTGCTGTGTTATTTTGGGTCACTTGCAGTTTCCTCATTCGTTCACACGAAATACCGGACAGAACAGAATTACAGTAGTCAAGTTTTGACGAGACAAGAGAGACAGAGAGCATGCATGCGCGTGCACACACTCACATACACACAAACACATGTGCATGCTCATTTAAGTTTTCTAAATAATATAATTACCCAATATCACGAAAAACAAGCACGTTTGATGGGGTGACGATCATCTTTTTTTTTCCCCTTCTTTCTCTTTGTACTACCTGATTTGGGGCCAAAATACCTGAAACTGACCCTGAATTTACCTGAAATGGGACATTTTAGGTAGGCAGCCCTTCTTATATTTATTAGTTCGAACGTTCTCTATTGTGCTATGGTTTTTATTTATTTTATTTTTTTTGCTTGCGGTATCTTAAGATTTGTATGATTCGAGTAAGTATAATGATGTTTTATTTGCACCATCTCCAGGTTGCTTTGGAAGAAAAGCAGGGAGCTTCAAATCTGGAACTGCTGTGTGAGGAACTTGAGGAGAAAGAGAAGAGGCAAGAGGAGAAGAAAGAATTGAAGAGATTGAAACGACGCCAGAAAAAAGCCAAGGCTCAAACACAAATATGCAATAGTGTGAACAACAATTCCTGCAGTAATGGTGTTGGATTAGAAGAGATTCCATGCAAGGTAAGAAGTTGGTTGGTTATTGTCATCAGATATTTTGTTGTACCACTTCCCTTTTGTATACTATTGTTCTGTGCCAAGTCTATCTGGCTTTTACTTCCTGTGGCTTGGGGAAAAAAATTAACAGCCTGATAGGTCCACTTCAAGCTCAAAGTGTTTTCAGGATTGTTTAAGTGCCCTTTTGTATAATCTGGGAAGTTTTGAATTTTGTAATAAAGATTGTTACTTTTCATCCAGAGCAGGGTAAGTTACGAATAGAAAGTGAACTTTTTTTAGCATTGACTTATGTCAGTGTTTTCTTTTATGTCATGGTGTTTGGTCTACCCAGTTCAACGCAGGCTGTGACTTTCACTTTCCCTAAGGGTGGAAGCAAAGGAGATGTTCAAACGTTTCTCTTTTTAATAGGTCAAACAGTGGTCCTATGAAAAGCAAGCACTGGTGCTAACTGGATAAGTAGGACTGACGCATGTCATTATCAGACAGGATAGCATTTGAGAGGTGTGAAGTTTTGACCACTGCTTGCTGATAGGACAAGAGAACCTTGATCCCACCGGCTGGGCCTTTGACCCCCCCACCCACCCTCCATCTCCCCCTAAACTCCCCTGTCTAAGACATAATTTTTTTCTGGCTCCCTTGCGATTCCGTCTTACACAGGTTCGACTGTATATGAAACATTATGGAGGAGAAAAGACTTTGAATTATAATTTCAGTGACGGGGTGCTCCAAGAATTGTATCAATTCTCTACAAATACATGTTCTTTTATTTTGTTACATGTCTTTTGGTTTGTAATGTCAGTATTCAAGTTTAAGATGCTTCTGAACTTTCGTGTTGCTATTGTGATTTGCTTTTGACAAATATTTCTTCAATTTTATTTCCTTTGCAGTGTTTGTCAGTTGATAATGACAACGCGGAAAAGAATAACAACTTCCATCAACATCTGCGCGGAAACAGAGAGTCGTGCGGTGACGCCAACTTCAACTCTCTAACTCTGTCCTTTCAAAGCTGTGATTTATCTCTGAAGAACTGCCAGGGCTGTCTCGACGGAGGTTCAAGTAGTAGTAGGCAGAACAGAAGGGATCGGTGGACTGACGAAGATAGCTGTGAAAGCTGCAGTATGCAAGGTTCAAATGAGGGGTCAGAAGGTGGGTATTCTTTCCTTGGACCCTTATTTGTTACTAGTCTGTATAGATTTACAGAGCCGACTTATTAGCAGTTTCAAGTGCAGCAGTGTAAGATAATATATCATACAGAATGAGTTACAGTGTATAGCTGGTTAATCTTAAAGTTTTATCTCTCTTTTTTTTTTCTCCATCACAAGTACATGATGGAAAATATATATCAATACATTTGTTGTTACTTTTTGGCCTCAATGTCATGTCATTAGCAAAATTTACTTTTTATAGGGGAGGGGGTATAATTTTTTTATTTCATTATTTTTTATTTTTTGGTTCATTGAAATATAGTGTGCCCTTTTCCTGTCAAGCTATCCTTAAAGCCTTGTTGTTGTTTTTTCACTGACAGAGGGAGAATGTTCAGGCTCTTTCACAGACAGTGTAGATAGCTGTGACTGTGATATGCTGAGGAACTCTCCGAAGCGAACAAGAGGTCAACAGGTAAGTGAATTATTGGACCTTGATTAGCTGCAAGCAACCTTTTTTTTCCTCCATGTGAGATCAAATTAATAATTATAAGTGAACAGGAGGCCTGATAAATTAACATAAAATCCATTTTAAAAGATTGTCCTATAGTTTATAAACAAGTCTATCGGAGATTACTGAAATGGCATTACTTATTGGAGTCTGCTGATTTCGAGCTGTTTGTGCTAATGGCAACCTCAAAACTTTGTTTCCGTACTCTGCCTTACAAAATCGCCCATATCTCAAAAATTACTGAAGATATATATCTTAAAAATTCAAAAAGCATATGTGTGGCGTGCTGACAAAATGAGTTACTTCTCGCCATCTGCAAATGGAGAAATTGGCCAAAAAATCAACATCGAGGTCAAATTAGTATTATTAGTAGATCTTCTATTGATGCTCTATTTTTAATGTATAACATGCCTCTTATTTCATACTTATAAATTATAAAACTTCTCTTATAAGCATGATGTTTCTATTTCCGTAAGGTTTGAATCCGAGAAGTAACTCATTTTGTCAGCACACTTCACATATTGTTCTGAAATGATCTCTGTACATGAAAATGCAAAGAAACTGGATTCTTCACAATGCGTCGTTTGGTACCTTTCACCAGGCACACACACACACATTTAGTCATTTCCTTAAAATGCAACTCTTCCTTTATAAAAATTTCAGAATGCTAAATGAAGTTTCTATTACCAGTTTTGTCTTCCCTTTCTGTTATTTATTGTAGTCGAAAGTATTGTATGAATCATTTATGAGGGGTTTTCAATAAGTCTTTGGTCTAAATAGGAAGGAATAAAGATAAAGCTTTGTAACTTGGCACACATACTTTCATTTCTCTACATAGTCACCATGCTGAGTAACACATTTCTGCCAACTCTCTTTAACCTTCAAAAGTCCTTGAGTAAAAAATGACACACAATGGGCCCCAGTTTTCCACAGCTTCAATGGCGTCCTCATAATGGAAAGGACGTCCTTTCAGTGATTTTTGAAGATTAGGAAACAGAAAAAAGTCTGAATTAGATCTGGTGAATAAGTTGGGTGTGGCAGGATTTCAAAGCCACACTGTTCTGCTGCCTGGGCTGTTTGTTGTGCCCTGTGCACAGGGGCATTGTCATACAGTAGGAGTACCCCATTACAGAGTTTTCCGCACATTTTTCTCACCAAATCGGACCGTAATTTTATCGGCAAACCCGAATAGTAGTCCCGTGTGACTGTTTTTCCATTTTCCAAGTAGTCAGTCATGATGATACCTTCACAATCCCAGAAACACGACAGCATGACCTTTCCACTTGACGGTGTTACCTTTGCCTTCTTTGATGAGGGAGAAGAAGGGGTTTTCCATTGCATGGTGATTTTTTGTTCGGGATTAAAATGATAAGTCCATGTTTCATCCACAGTCACCATGTTTTTAAAGAAATTTGTGTTATTGCACTCAATTCAAAGGAGAGTTTTGCAGGACTCAACCCTCTGCTTCTTTTGCTCACTTGTCAAAAGGCAGGGTACCCGCCAGGCATTTTTGGGCATGCTTTCATTGAACACGCTGACTAGTGCCTTATTATTGTCGGATTTTCCCGAAAATTTGCATGGTGTCTTCCAAAGAAATGGTCTAAAGACTGGCGAGATTTCATTACTCTACCATGATTCCTTCATACCCAGACCAAAGACTTATTGAACCCCCCTCTTACATGGAAATGAGTTTATAGAATCTTAAAGAATACTTTGTTTTTCAGGGATCCTTTGGTTGCAATGGTTCTCAGTGTAACAAATACCCATTCCAAGCAGGTGAACAGCCATCTCTGCAAGATCTTTTGGAAGTAAGTAGTATTGATTTGGGCTTTTCTGGGAGGGGAGTGTGTTTTCTTGGACCCATTTTGTAGTTTCACACTTTTTTTCTGTTGTTTTCCCGATTGTTAGCAAAGAAAATATTTTGGAACTTTAGTTTACAATGATCTTTATTAATGAGCTTTTAGATTCTATTGGTCATCCAACTTTTCGACCCGCATGCAAAGCCCAGCGAAGATTAAACAAAGCAATTTGTTTATATCCTGTTTTAACCGTAGACAGATAATAATAACGATACATAATAATGATATGTGACGTTTATATAGCGCTCAACCCTGATTAAAGTATACTGGCTCTGAGAGCTTTACAGTAACATAATCAGTACGTTGTGTTCTGACCGAAAGAAAAAATCTCTCTCTAAATATCTATCTCATTAATTTAACCCTCGTCCTGCGGGGGCCAGGTTTATGTCGCCCGATAAGCCTATTTCGACACCTCGCCTGCGTTCTGGTCCCGCGTCAGTCTGGCCCCTGGCTCAGCGCAATGAGCCGAGCATAATCTCCCGTTCAATTCGGGTCCCCAGTCGGATCCGCATTCACGCAGCTCAAGTGTGTGTGTGCGTCAGACTGCTTGAGTTTGGGTGCGTTTGTGGCCTTCTTCTAGAACCACCTGCCTTGGTTCGTAACCAAGGCATACGTCTCATTCAAAACATGCCAAGTTGGTAGCTCTAGATGTTCGTCCTATTAAATTATAGAACAAATTGACCCACTTCGACATGAGGAGCTTGAAACGATAGTCAGGAAACAAGACTTCCATTTTTTAAATATAAAATCTTTCAAATGAGCTTGATTTTGTATGAAATGATACTACCTGATAGAAAATAAGCTTGTTCGATAATTTTGAATACCATTGTGCAGGTAAAAAGAACAGTTTGAGTGCAAAACATATTTAGAAATTGACTTATATTATCCCCTTTCGAACCCCTGGTCATTCATAACAACAAGAGCATCTAGAAAGGTTATTCGAATTGGCATAACTACTCGTAATGTCTTATCAGCTTATGATAGGGGGTTATTCATGTGTTTGTAACACTTTATAAATAGAAAGCTATGAAAGATAGAGCGTTATTTTCATCATCGATTAACACACTCCCTTAGCATTCATGGCGAAAACACACGTTTCCAGGCGCGCGCGCTGTACACCAACAGTACACACTGAGTGACCCCGGCGGCCTGCCCGGAACGTCTGACGTAATCGGTTGCTGATAAGATTCGCATCTCAGCACAGACGCAGGACAAGAGTTAAAAACAGAAAACTTTCAGATGAAAGTGAACAAGCTATTTTTTTTTTTAGTTATAAATTAAATATCATCAATTAGTTACTTATGTTACTTAGATTGATGTCGTAATCATGTTATTTAGATAAAAACAATTATATTATTGATCTTTCAGGAACTTTGCTGGGATGACGGTGGGGATGAGGACCAGGGTATTTCGGAGGAGGAGATCTTGGCGTTCAAGGCAAAACAAGGGGAGGTAGAGAGTAAACGGCAGAAGCTTCGGCAGAATTTACGCCAGCGGTTTGCCGAGTTCCACCTGTCCAGACATGTCAACTCTATGTAGCGTTCATGCCGGTGGATGGGTTAGGGGAAGTGGAGTGAGAAACTGTTTGTATCATGTTCATGTTCTGTGTCACTAATAGTGGAGTTGTTTGTGTCTTTCATAAGGAGCTTTTTGTTGTTGTTTTTTTTAAAAATATATCAGAGCCCCTTTTGAGCCTATGAACTTGTGGAAGCTTGATGTACTTGATACTGGCTGCAACTTCAACTTGAATGACTGAGTAAATTCTTTCTTGTATTGATATTGGGATAGATTTAATATCTTTTATAAAAAATATAAATTGTGTTTGGAAATGTAGCTACCCTTGCTTTTCTAAAAGCTAGACTTAATTTAGTTTCTCATGATAGAGTGATCCACTGTTGTTGTTACTGAAATGACAAAGATTATGGAGCTTGTATTTCAAAAAGGAGGAATATACATCTTTTAAAAATTTGCTAATTTGTGTCATTTATAACAGATTTCTCTGTCCCTGAATTTGGTCAATCTAATGAAAGAAACGGAAAAAATAAACAAATTTCATTTTTAAGAGAATTTGTTGTATTTTGACTAACTTGTGTTTTAAAAGTTTTTAAAAATAATGTTTTGTAATGGTTTTGGATGCTTGGGTACACCTTAAACAATAGTATAGCTCATTCTCTTCAAAGTCGATCCATTCCCCCATTTACCTTACTTTTACCTAATGTTTGTCGACTAGCGTCTGTTTGGGTCAGTATTTTCCTTTGTAGAGCCTGGGCTTAAAGAACTGACTCAGGCTGAAAAGAGTCAATTTCGTCCTATGGATGACATGGCTGCCTACCTCAAATGATTCTTCCCCCCCCCCTTGTTCTTGGGAGTTGGTTTCCATCATTCACTGGTTAAAAGAAAGGAAATACCCATGAACTCTTTGAATAAAGTAATAAAGTTCTTTTTTGAAATTTTATTAGTAGAGCAAAGACTACCAACTGGTTAGTCCTAATTAATTCCCTCTCCTTTCGGTGAAGTCTGAATTGCCCAGCACTTTGTGTCATCTTTGGAAACCATAATAGAATTCCAGGACCTTTTAGTTCTGTGGTGTTGGGGGAACCAAGAAGTTTTGTATTGTTTTGTTTTTCTTGCTAGTACATACTGCATGGCGCCAAAGGTTGCTCATTTTCGTGACACGGGCTGTATGTCATACTGGTGTAGGTTACTCTCAGGTATTAAAAAAAGGGGGAGGGTGGTGTGGTGGACAAGTAGTCCAAAATTAATAAACGGGAGGTTGGAATTGGGGCGGCTCATTCAACCTCATACCCCTGTACAAGTAGGAAGAGATCTGTTGTATTTCTCCTTCAGTGAATAAAGAAACAAGAGGTCATGAAATTTTAGTAAATTACTGTAATGACAACTTTTCCAATTTAGTATTTAGGAACAACACAGTTTCATTGAAAAAATATAAACCAATGTATAAAAGTTTCAAAAATGCACCGAAAATTGAAGTAGCCAACCCAGTAGCGGTACTAGTAGTACTGAGGGTACTTTGCCATTTCCAAAAAAAAAGGAGTTTCATTTTGATATCTAGATTTTAGGTTTAATGTTTCACATGATGGTCGGTTGTGGCAAGCTGGAAAATAACTGAAAATGAATAAGCCGGGGGGCTTATGTGATAGCTTAGAGTAAGTGAAATAGCTATTTATTGTTGCCTGAGCTTTGCTTGGTTTAGACTGCATTGTGCTGCAGTCATTTCATTCAGCGTCTGCAGACAGTGTGAGTGAAGCTGTTGAGTAAGGAGGGATTGGGTCCTCATCACCAGCAGGCTGTACAATGATGGGCCCCCTCCCTCCTCTTCTTCTGCGCCGCCCCCGTAGTTTTTGCTCTTGTTTTGCCCGTCGCCCAATTTTTTTGTCCCAGCGATGTAGAACTACTGTCATGTTGGTGCGTGTCTCTTCAACTCGAGTCGGACTACCTCTACTTCGGCACCCTGGATTTTTTAATTACAGGGGAATCTCACTTGCAATGTCTTTTCTTAGTCATATTATGATTGGAGAGAAATAATAGATTAACTTTGTAAAACGGGAGCCTTAATTATCACCTTCAGTCTCAAGAGATTTTTAGTTTGCAACCTGTTCATGTTAAGGTGGGAATAGAGCAAGAAGATATCAGTATAGCAGGCTTGCCAACCTTCCCGAGGTTTTCGGGAAATTCCCGAATTGCCTTCGTCGTTCCTGAACCTTTCCCGAAACGGTGTGGGTGTTTTTATTTAGTAACTTTAGTAGCCTATCACAGAAGTGTGTGTCTGTGGCTCTCTGGCGCTATCAAAATTCCAGAATTCAGTATCTCAAAAGTTGGCAATCCTGGTATAGTAACGAGTCCAATTATTCTGAATATAAAATTAATGAAGAGTAATACAGCCAAGCAGACACTGTGTTAAAAAAGCACACAACAAACAGATGTTGCGGTCCTGAATTTTTTCTAATATTTCTAATATACCCAGGAATTTCAACATGGTGGCCTAATTTTGGCATAACCAAAAGCTTTGTGCATCCCCACAGATTACACGATGATGATCGTTTAGACTGTGTAATGTTTCTATACACACATTTTGGAGATCAGCTTTCAGGCTGATATTGTCGTCAGCTTCTCCCAGTCAGGCTGGGACTCTTATGTCTTGCTTTTATTTTTTAGAAATGATGTTCTATGTCTCTGGGCTATTGTCTATACTATATTCTATACTATATTCTTTTTGGATGATTTTTGCAGTTTTGTCACTGGCAGATTTACCTCTAAAGTGATTCTCATACCAATATTTATGCAAACATGGAAATATTGCCTTTATGCTTGCGTTGCTGTGTACACAGTGGAATGAAACAGTTGGTTTATGTTCGTGGATGGTTGGAGTTTTACCACCGGTAGGCTGTACTACTGTTAAAATTCCTCAGGGTTTTTTTTTTTTTAATTTTGATTGTCAGATTGTTCGGTCGTGGTACAAAGTGGTATTTTTTACTTTATCTAAGTACCTGATACTTTTTTTTATTTTACTAAAACATGCAGTTGAAAATTATAATTTTTAGATGAGATTCATTGATCAAGAGCATGTCTGAAATGAGAAAGATGTAATTGCGGTACAGTAGAACACGACTATAGCGGCACCCGCTACAGCGGGACCTTACCAGAATCCTTTCTCTATGTAAACTCAATTAATTACCTGTGCTCGGGTTTTGCAATGCAAGGAAAGTTCCGAATTTGGATTCAGCGAAAGAGATCGAGCGAGCTTTAGCTGGGGGGGAAAGGGGTTGGGGGGCTGTAGGCGGGCTCCAAACAGGCAGTCAGCAGTGCAGTGTTTTGATTGGTCTGTCCACTGATGAGTGAAGTGGGGCAGGTGGCAGAGAGAGATGGTGCTGAGAGACGCGTTACGTGAGCAACTCCAAAAGTGATGTTCCGTAGATTAGGCGCTCAGTATGAGAGCGTATAGGCCATAACCCTAGGCCTAGGCTAGACCAAAAAGTAATAGAAGAGGAGAATGTGTAGTGTGAGATTCCTGATTCATTGAACTGCAATCGTTGATGCTTCTATACATACGCACGCATCCATTTCACCAGCTCTACAGTTGGCCTACCGGTATGATAGACAGCACAAGCAACGAGACCGAGGAAAAGATGGCTTCCGACAAAGACAAAAGGAAACGCTTCTCCCTCGAATTAAAGGCCAAGATAACCGATGAAGTTGACAAGAAATGGAAGACTTTTATCAAAAGCGCAAATTTTCTTGATATGGAAGGGAGGTAATCATGTGGATTTTAAGAAATTTGTCATTAATTTCCCCTTTGCATTCCGAAAGGCGGAACTTGACTACAGGGGGATTTTTATTCTGGAACCAAATGTCCCGCTATAGCCATGTTCTATTGTAGCATGTATGAGTGAGACTCAAAAGGACGTAAGTTAAAACAGAAGTTTGGTGAAGGGAGGAGGGCAGTCTGATAAATATGGAGCTGTAGTGGTTTCCATAGCTGGTTCTGTGTAATAAATGTTTATGCATGTGATCTGTTCTGTTGATGTTGGGTGCTCGGTAGTCCTGGGTGGCTAGGTTCCCGATTATTGAAAGCTAGGAATCGTGGGAATCGACTCCGAACCCAATTACTTACTTTCTAATTATGTGATTTCTTCTGATGGTTACCTGGTTGGCTCCGAACGTTTTCAGGATTTAGGATAACCTTGATTTCAGAACACTACGAAGCATCAGTTTTTATTTTTCAAAAATAAATTCTTTTTTAAAAAAGATGATGTTAACCCTTCCAGCCCCGTGTGCTTATATTTTTAGCGGCGCTTGTACCTCCCACCGTCTCGAGAGTGTATATTCTCAGTTTCGGGGGGTACTGAATTTGCACATTTTTCAAAATTAGCTTACCTAATTAAACTTTGATTTTCATAATATTTGTTAATTTACCTTTAAACATTGCTAGTCGTTCTTATCTAAATCTCATTACAGTGGAATCCTGTTATAACGAGAGGGAGGGGACTGGAGCAAAATGTCCATTATAGCAGGATTCTCGCTATAAAGGATCCAGTAATAAATTCAAGGGAAACTGTAAAGTAGGCCTAATCTATGAGTTTGGTGTTCTGTTTATTTCCTTTTGCTATCTCCCCTGATGACGATTTTGTTTCAACATGACCTCTAGGTCTTACTTGATCAAAAATAGAATCAAGTTTCTTTCTCTAGTGCTAGATCTAGCGATGTGGACTGACAGCTCGGCGTTGGCGATCAGAAAGGAAGGGCTCTGGGCTAACTCGCCCACTGTGTTTCCCCCCACCTCACCACACCCTGTGGTGCATTCTGTCTGCTTGTGCACGTCACACATTCGCTCCATCCATCACATTGCTGTGACCTCTCCATCCCCGCTTCAGAGAAGTGACTGAGAGGCATGGTAGGCCTTGATAATGTAAACTAGGCTTACGCTGGCATATCACACGATGTGTTCTGCTTGTCTGCGCATGCCACACCCTCCCTACTCAGTTGCTTCGGCCTTCATATTGTTGACACACGTGTGCTCTCCCATTCTTTGTTTCGATAGATCACCAAGTTTCTCAACTGGCGAGGTTTTACGTTATGTAAAATTGGCCTATGCACTGTGCACAACAGCAGCAATATTCCGCTATAACCGTTTTTTATTTACAAAGGTAAAGAGGAGAAAAAAACGGGGTTTCAGAATAGCGTCTTTATAACAAACTTCTCGTTTTTTCCAGACTCGTTAAAAGTGGACTCCACTGTACAAAGATACAACATCACTTTTTAGAATGCATGCCTCTTTTTCTGAAATACCATTGTATTGGCTGGGACTGGGGTTAGGGAGTGCATAAAAATGGCTGGGGCTGGAAGGGTTAAGGATTAAAGTAACTGGTAACGGTACGTTGGTTTACGTAAAAAGGAGCCGAAACTTTTCTTCCGTAGCATTAATCGTTGGGAATCGGTTCCGGAATCGATTCTTCGCCCAGCCCTAGTGCTCGGGTGGTTATGAAGTGCCTCTTGAGCTGTAAACAAGATCTAAAAATAAGACACCGAGTGGACGAAAAAATAATCTG